TGCATTTTCATGAATGTGCTCCGAAAATGAAAACACGCCTGATCTAACATGTATTTGGATTAATTAGGCGTATTTCTCGATGAGAAAAAAAAATGGACAAAATAGTTTTTGGGCACTCGATAAATTGTCTTTACCATGCGTGTTTTTTAATATCCGTCATCAACATTCACTCGCGCTGCTTAAGTACCTCTTCTGTCAGTCAGTATGGTCGCCGCGGGTGTCGGCACAAACTCACATGAACACATAAACAAAACAGGGTGGAACGGCTTCTTAAACTGATTTAAACTGTTTCGTTCGCATGTGAGTGTCACGCATGTGCTTTTAAGTACAGGTACCTACAAAAAAAAAAAAAAAAAAAAAAAAAAAAAGCACAAAACAAAAATAAGCAAAGCCAAACAAGTATATTGACTAGCGGGGAATGAGGTGGGCCATTGAGCCACGCGTCTGAAAAATGGCCAGTGTGGAAGGGTTAAAAACATCACTACAAGGGCTCAACAGATTAATCAGCAGGCCAATTAAATCAGCCTATTATGGCCCTTCAAAAATCGACCAAAATAATTGGCCAAATGGCCGATGTTTGCCGATTGTGTTTACCTTTAAGTGCTCAAGCCATTTACAATAGTTGTAAACAAGTATGACTGGTCTCATTATGTATTACAACCTTGTATCGTTAAAATTATTTTATATATATTTGTGTGTATATATACACAACACACACACACACACACACACACACACACACACACACACACATTTACATATAGATATAAGGTGTATACATACATATTTACACATGCCTATATACATATACAATAGGTGCTAAGCATACAGAAGGTCACATTAAGTTCACCTGTAAAGGTTTGAATGCATTTTAGGCTCGTCCCGATTCAATTTCACCTGAAAGCCAAATTTGCCCAATTTTTAGTGAGTAGCACACATATACTGGTCTATGATTCCTCTTTATCATACTCAACCAACGGAACAACTGCTGATGCTCAAAAAGGCATCATGTCAGAACAGTTTGCACACGTAATTTTAACTGTCAATTTTAACTGCAGTTTTCCATTTCTATTTGCAAATGTGCACAGCCTCTCATACATAGAATGAAGCTCTGTTTAGAATTAACCAATTCAATTCACTCGTGTTAAATGGGAGACAGCGCACACTGATTGACCCCAAATAAACCTGGCATGGCATGTTGAAAGCATTATGCTGTCTCCACCGTGTGTCACTCTCAAACAAATGTGGGGAAAATGTGTTATGGTACAATGAAACCAGGGTTGAATCTTTTGGGCCATAATTCCGAAGTTTGGCGTAAACATAACATTGCTCATCACCAAATGAACACCATACCCACACTTATGCATGGTGGGGGCAGCATCGTGCTTTGGGGCTGTTTTTCATTAGCCGTTCCTGGAGGCCGAGACAAGGTGGAAGAAATTATGGACAATTCAAAAATGGCAGTCAGCGTTAACACAAAACCTTATGGCTTCATCTATAAACAAAAAAAAAAATAAAATAAAAATATCAGGAAAAGCCCATTAGAACATAGATTTATTTGGGGTTTGTGAGAGGCACTTTGAATGGTTAGCATGTGTGCGTTGTAGAAAATCGAGGTCACATTAATGGTGGAAACAGTATGAAATGATTTATGGTAATCTTTTTTTATATCGCAAAAAAATCTGGCATTTGAACAGGATAGCTTTAGCCACTTCACCAACCAGAGTAGAAATGCTAAATATGTGGCTGATTTAAGACAAACAAGCTGCTTGACTAAAGGTCAAAACACAAAATTGCACCACAAGATTACAATGAAAGTTTGACCCTAATCTCTTGTCTTTCGTGAAAAACCCTCAGTGTGCAAAATGTGCTCATTCAATGGCTGGCTTTATACACCCTCTTAATGGATTAATGAGAAATATTGTGACATAGTCTCTATAACGTGGTGTGCAAGCAAGTATGTTTGGGAGTGAGGGAATACTGTTTCCTATTGTGTGACTGTGGTGTTTTTTTGCATCACTGGGCCAATACCCATTCAGCAAGTCTCCAGAAATTAGAAAATGGGGGCTAGAGTGCCAAAAAATAACAAAATGCAATTCGTCCCCAGAATCCTAATGGTTGTCAAAATAAAGTGTGCATTAGGGTGAATGAGCTAAATCGAGAGCACTGAATTATCTATAATAATAAATAATGTCTCTCTCTCTCTCTCTCTCTCTCTCTCTCTCTCTCTCTCTCTCTCTCTCTCTCTCTCTCTCTCTCTCTCTCTCTCTCTCCCCCGTATATCACAGCCTTTGGGAAAACAAAATTTAAAAAATGTTTATATGGTCAGGGGTGCCTTAAAGATGGGACAAGTGATGACGATTTTAAGGGTCCATGACTGGAGCGGTTGTGGTATTCAAGTGGTGGGGCTCAAGAAATACAGAGCGGAAAGGGGATAAAAATCTGGTCGCCCAAAAAAAGCGTTGGAAGTTCAAGTTTTGATTGACAATGATTGTTGTTGTTTTATTGCTGGTAATCACATTGTGATTGGTGACATGTGGAGTACAAAAGGATGTTTCGGTGTGAATTATAGCACAACACAGAGGCATTACAATGGTGTCATTAAATGTTAATGGTATGAACAACCTGGAAAAAAGGGGAGGGGGGAATTGTAGACAAAATTAAGAAAGGAGGAGATTCAAGTCATTTTTCTACAAGAAACTCACCTTAAATCACAAGAACACCCAAAAAAATGCAATTCATTCTGTAGCTCATTTCAACTGTGTCATAGGAGAGCTCGGCAAGATTTCAAATCAACAATGAAATAAACGACACACAAATGAGGTATGTTGAAAATGTGACATTAATCAATGCATATGCTCCACCAAACAGTGAAGATAACGTATTTCTTTTTTTTTTGGGGGGGGGGGTTATATAGCCGTGGAAATGGATGGGATCCTGAGCTGTGGAGGGGATGTAACCATGACTCAGACACGACTGATACAAAGAAATCTAGGACCCATATAATCAGGTACATGAACACATAACTAAAGCAACTAGGGATTATAAATGGATGTGGGATATGCATATGCTATTGAGACACTACACACACCCACATTCAAATTAGGCTAGAATAGACTATGTTTTTATGGAGATAGTGGATAAACACAGAGTGGAAGAATGTAAGATAGGTGTCCCAGACTTGTCAGACTACAGTGCCGTATGACAGTGAAAGTGACCAGTTGAGGAAAAATCACTATTTGGAGGTTGAATGTAAGGTTACTGTATAATAAAGAACGAGTGCAATAGAGGATATAACCAGATATAGGGAAGAAAATGATAAGGGAGAAGTGAATCCAACTATTTTGTGGGATGTTCTGAAAGCCGTCATAAGAGGGAAATTCAGCGCAAGAACCGCAGGGCTTAAAAGGACCCAACATGAATTGAATCAAAATTTAATAAGGCAACTCAAAGAATTTAAAGATCAGCATAAAAATAAGAATAACGCAGAGGTACCTATGACGGTCACAGTGACTAGAAGTGAGATAGATAAATTAACAGAGATGGAGAAGAGAGCATGGTTTGTGAAGCAAACCCTAGATGAGGAGAAGATGGATGGCTGGAGAGATTGATGGAGAGATGGAAACTAGTAAATGGACTTTGTTTTGGGAATTCATTTTTTTTAATGAGCAACTGCATATTTTACTCCACTCTTCGTTTGTTTTTTAAGATGAACCCCATTTTATTACATTCCTTGATGCCCAAAATGTACAATTGGACACCAACGTTGTCATTAAAGATATGGGCCTCTCAGATATGGTCTGCGGTCATTTTGTGTGATCTTACTTGTGTCTGTCTTTGGGTACAGTAAATTTACCTCTTTGATCTGTTGGTACTTCAATGCCAAAGCAGACCATAGCATCATGATGAAGGCAAAAGTCGCAAAACCTCTCTAATACATTGCATAATTGTAGAAATGTGTCAATTTAGAACTCCAAGGAGTGTGTGTACAGTACTGAAGAAAATACTATAAAACAGGGCTCACCAACCTGGTGTCCAACCTGATGCCTTTCACATTACTCAGCACCCAGGAAGTAGTACTTCTGAAAAATCAAAACAGTTTATACCAAGCAAAAGCTTGTCACCGGTTTCTCTTTTTAAGATTAAAACGTCTCAATTTAAGCAATGTTAGATGTGCTTGTGAGAGAGGCTATTTATGAATGTAGACGTATAGGTTTTTTTTTGTCCTGACTTAAATTATTTTTACTTGAAATCCTAGCCCAAAAACCGACTCAATAACAAGAAACTAGGCAGATAAACGGGAGGCTGCAGGAGGACATGAACATTTCTCAGCTACTTGATGCACCTGCAGCTGAACGCACATCTGGGGATAAATAAGCAACACAAAACTCACCTTTCACTGTGGCAGTTGATGCGGTCTCCGTTCCTGGCTTTTCCCGTCAAGCAGCAGCACGCATGAAATTATTTCGCGTCGTTGCTGAACGGGTAGGGGCGGGGAACGACTTTCGTCGTGCTATGATTGGACTTGGAGAAGTGGTGCGTGTTGACTGAGGGCCGGGCTGGATGAGAGAAAGGAGGACCGGAGGAATTGACAGCAAGGAGGACCGGAGGAATGCACGGGTTACCTACGGTCACCCGAGCCAGAAGGCATGATCTTAGGCCGCTTCAATACTTCAAGTATTTTAATTCATGTGTCAACCCAGTTTTGAGTTTTGCAATGAATTGCAAGCTTAAATGTACCACCTTCGTCTTTACATACATGGTCTTCAATGTATATTTGCTACCCAGTTTTTCCTTTTTGTCCTTTCTACACCCCATCCTTTCTGAAAAATATTACATTTATTGATAGAGTTTGAAGAATTTAACTTGGTTATAAATTGCTTAACTTGACATGCTTAACAAACATCAAAATGAATAAATGGTTGTTTTGTGTCGTTTGTACGTTTAACTCTTGTCGAACTGGAAATACTGGCTAATTTTTTTTTTTTTGAGTGTGTTCATTCAGGCACCACGATAGGCAGCAAAAGCCGTCTTGTGGGGTCCTTTTGGTCGTGGCTAAGCTAACCAGAAAACATGCCGACTGTCGGTGTAAGAAGGGATCTTCTTTTTAAAGCGTTGGGAAGAACCTATAGTAAGTAACGCTCATGTGCTAATTTGACGAAGAACTATACGCGTTTTACATGTTTTCCGTTCCCCAAAACATCACCACAAGTATTCTGATTTTGCGCCAGATAGCACCTCGCGACGGTATAATTAACACATTTACAATCTAAGAATGTTTTACATTCACAACAAAACACCTTCAAAATCAATACAGTATGTCTTCTTTTGGGGCGACAGTAAAGTTGTTTGAATACTTTGTTGTCTCGTCTCCGGTGAATGTCAACGTCATTGCGTCATCCTCGGCGCATCATCATAAGGCAGATTTAAGACCAAAGACAAGTTGAAGACGCTGTTATGCATTGATTTCTCGGTACATTTTATACCACGGTGAACTATTTTTTCATCATGTGGCCATTCACCCGGAAAATAAAAATAGAGCATGTTCCTACTGTCTTAACATGAATGCCTGATTTTCCTTTTCGTTCAGCTGATGACGAATTTGACGAACTGTGTTTTGAATTTGGATTGGAGCTGGATGAAATTGTAAGTACACTACAGTATTTGATTGCATCCACTTAGTTCACTATTAGTAGTCAGTGAGTTGACTGAGGAGACCTTTTCGTATCTATTTTTTTTTCTATTGCCAGAAAAATTATGATAATTTTAATGGCTCTGATACCCAAATTATAGAAGCTACTTGAATTTTTGCATTAGAACATGATACATTATTTTGATTTTAAAACACTTGCAAGAAATCCTTGACAAATGTTGAGATGGAAAAAAATGAATGCATGAGCATGGAATCATCACAAATTGTTTTATGTAAAAATGTATTTTACCACAAGTGTAACTTGAACAAGAGCTTATAAATCGTTCAAGTTTAATGTAAGCAAAGGTTTGTGGAGCTCTTAGGATTTAACTCGGATATTTAGATAAAGTTTGTGTTCCTAATCCTTCTTCAGACCTCAGAAAAGGAGATAATTTGCCGTGAACAAGGTGATGTCAAGGCAGCGGGAGCATCTGATGTTGTCCTTTACAAGATTGATGTACCAGCAAACCGCTATGACCTTCTGTGTTTGGAAGGTTTGGTCCGTGGGCTGCAGGTCTTCAAGAATAAGTAAGGCTTTGTCGGGCGGAATGATCACATTGGTCAAAATATTGTTGTTGGTTTTCTGATACTCAGTCCAAAGTTACTTTTCAGTGTACACTAACCATAGATTTTTTTTGTCCAGGATGGAGGCACCTCGGTATAGACGTGTTAGCCCGATCAATGGTGAGCCTCAGAAGCTCATTATTACCAAGGAGGTGGGTTTGAAAATTTTTTGCAAACATTGATCCAAAATATGTTTCAAGTTTGATGTTGTTGTCCTGTGCAGACAGCAGCAGTGCGTCCCTATGCTGTGGCAGCAGTTTTAAGGAACATCACATTCACACAGGAGCGCTACGATAGCTTCATTGAGCTGCAGGAAAAACTCCATCAGAACATCTGCAGGTGAGGTCAGCTGTGACACAGCTTATTTGTCATGACAACAGGTGTAGCCTCATTTACACATAGGCCCACTTTTTGCCGCCAGTCTTTTTTGTGAAATCAACTCATGAGACAGAAGCTGCCATAAGCTAATTCGCTTGTGGAGAAAAAAAAAAAGAGGCAACGAGTGATTCACGGGAATATTGGACTTTGAACCGGCACGACTGCATCACTACAATGAATCAAATTAGATTCGACACAAATAACTCAATGCACCTCTGAATGTACATTTTCTCCTTTTCAACTTGGGCAATGAACTGTCCAAACCAAAAGTTTGAGGGGAAAAAAAAAGAGAAAAATACGTGTTGCTTTTGACACATCTATGTTTTGTGACAACAGTCTGTCTTCTGTCAAGCAATTTTTATATTTTAAACAAAGCTACAAATCTTTGTTGCTGTGAGAGAATAATTTTCATTTTGTTTTAAAATGTTAAATCGCACTGCTGCAGCGTCAAATTATATTCATGTTTCATCACAAGGGAAAAGGCCCGCCACCATTACATACTATTGTTTTGAATGAATGAAGAATAAAATTTGAGTCTTGCCACAGCATCGTTGCCATATCAGTACACAGTAGAATATATTTTCCTGATGTTTCAAAGTCAGAATTTTGATATCTTGACAATGCATACCTATTAAAAATGCATTACAAAACTAGCCTGATGTTTTGAATGTCTTCCTGTTATCCTTTAGTATATTATGCCACAATTGAACTTTTATAACAATCCTTGTGCAGAAAGAGGAGCCTTGTGGCGATTGGGACTCATGACCTCAACACCATCTCAGGTCCTTTCACGTATACCGCTAAACCACCCGGAGACATCCACTTCAAGCCCCTCAACCAGAGCAAAGAATACACTGCTACCCAACTCATGAGCCTCTACAAGGTTAATCAGCTGCTTAAGCTTGTTTTCCTTTGTTTTTTTTTTCCCCTTGCTTTTGTTGACCTTCTTTTTGTCTTCTCTTGACTTAGACCGACAGCCACCTGAGGCATTACCTTCATATTATTGAAGACAAGCCTGCCTACCCCATCATTTATGACAGCAATGGTATTGTCTTGTCGATGCCTCCCATCATCAACGGTGAGTATTTACCGTATATCGCTACTTAAACTTAGCTAAAATTGCAAGCGTGACAAATGTCCACTTGTAAAGTGTTGTATGAAGTTGTGGTGCATGATTTAAAAAAAATAAAATAAATAAATTACTAATCTCCTATGAAGATTATGCATCTCTGTATGTTGTAGCCATTATTTGGAGTTTTCTGCATAAGTCGATTCTCTGGGTTGTCCTGCATGTCCTGTTCAGCATCTACATTATAAGACTTAAGACCACACCTTCCCCAATCACTTTGTACCTGAGATGAACAAAGACACCATGTGCAAAAGAGCTCAGTGTATGTTTAAATTTGGTGTTTAACGACGAATTGTGCTGATTTCAAAGTAAATAAATGCATTGTGTTCAAGATCATTGTGAGTAGCGTTGCTGTACTAAAGTCGATGCTTTTTTTGTGGTCCTGACCGATATGGGTCGGTACTACAGAGTAGTGATGGGACGATGATACCTCAGGGAGTGTATTGACCCACTTCACAAACTGTCAGCACTGTATTGACACTGTGTTGGTCACCCAATAGTGACCCCTGCAGTAGTTATAAAATCATTGCAGGTAAAGAAATTCCTTGTTTGTGTAAAGGCTAAACTGAGTTGGTATGTAAACTATAGCAAATTTGAGTTACAATTCAGATTTTTAACTTATGTAGAAAATTTTTGTTAAATCATGTGAAATAAAAGACAAAAAAGTGATTAGTTTATGAATTTTTATTGAGAAACAAAAGTTTTTGGAGTGTCTTTGCTCCAAGGCGATTTGTCCTCTTAGACACCAGCTCCCCAGCCTCAGAAAGTACTCTTTCACATGGTTCAGATGACGATAGTGAGCAGAGAGTTTTAAATGAAAGTTAATGCAGATGTGAATATGTTTTCTGGTTCCATTTCCAATATTGTAAAGGGTCTTGGTTTCTGGGTGTGTTTGCTTCTGACAGGCAGTGTTGGACTTCAATTATGGAGGATCTCGCAATTATAAGATAAAATGAATAAAGCAACTGTAAGGCTCTTTAACTGACTATCATATATATAACATGTCCTTCACTTGATAAAGTGGGTGCAATGCGCCGCCGTAAAAAAAAAAAAAAATGTATGTAACAGTAAACAATGCTCAAAAGAGAAAAAGATTTACCAAGATCCAAATTATTCCACACTGGGGAAAACATAATTTCGCAAAACTCCAGCCAACAAACCCACGACATGTTGATACAGTTTGTGTCCTTATAAACACACTTTGGCGCAGCACATTCAAACGATCCAGTTCCTGTGTTGGTCACGTTATTCTTTCTTAAAGCAATACACGCACCGATGCGGGGTTTCACTCTTGAGCTCTCGGCACTGTGCTGACGCACCAGTGTCGCTCGTCCCATCACTACTACAGAGCTCTGTTTCGATTCCAAAACATGCCTTTTTACATTGTGACTGCGCGAGAGTGGAAAACACGCAAAAAATACATTTCTGGTTTGACGTGAGCTAAGACCCGACTGCACAGCCATTCTTCCGCCAACCCACACATATACAGTATTTGTAGTGTACTGTTACTAGGGATGTCCGGTACCATGTTTTTTTTTTTCTTCAGATATTAGTAGTACTCAAATCTTCAAAAGTCACAGACACCAATAATAACAAGATTGTGTGTGTGTGTGGGGGGGGGGGGATGTGTCAGACAGTTTTTAATTGGACAACCTTGAAATGCATTTCCAGTATTTGTTCAGTTTTAACGTGTAGCTATTTGTTTTTGCAGGGGATCACTCAAAAATTACACTGAAGACAAATAATGTTTTTGTTGAGTGCACAGCCACAGACCTGACGAAGGTAGAACTGAGTCCACAGAGAAATTTTGTTGACCATGCTGCCTTCTCTTAACCATTAAAATTTGCCCCTTCTCCAGGCGAAGATTGTGTTGGACATGATTGTGACTATGTTCAGCGAGTATTGCTCACAGCCTTTCACGTAAGTTACATCTTCTCACCAAATGAAAAAAGTTCTTATCATTGTGTGGTGGAATGTGACGAATGGAATTGAAAAGGCATATTCTTGATTAAGCCATTCGATATCCTCTACCCCATATTCAGCGACATCTCAGCTCCCAATCAGCTGTCGGCTGCACCTTATTATAATCAGTCTAACATCTTCCAAGGTCAAACTATCAAGAGTACTTGTAATCTCCCTTTTTGCATTGCTTTCCTGAACCTGACATCACTGCTTTGATCACTGCCACCTCTCAAAAATGTTTCATATGTCTCCCACACCCTAATAATTGAATGTTTGGAAAAACCTTTTACTGCTATGAACTGAGAAACTGTATCCAAACTTTTAAATGTTGGTGTACAGCATATCCACTGCACATTAAGTCCTCCATATCTGCATTTGACAGCTAACACGTGTCACGGCTTGAAAAAAGCTTTATTTCTTTGAGGAGCAATTTTGCTCAAATATCACTTTATTTAAGGATCAACGTAATCATTTTGAGCAGCATTTTTTGCAGGTTGAACCCGGGATAAGCGAAGTAAGGATTTTATTAAACTATAAAAATGCCACAATATAACGGGGAGGTTGAATGTAAGGGCAGTCCAGTGGTTAGCGTGTTGACCTCACAGTGCAGAGGTCGTGGGTTCGATCCTAGCTCCGGCCTTCCTGTGTGGAGTTTGCATGTTCTCCCCGGGCCTGCGTGGGTTTTCTCTGGGTACTCCGGTTTCCTCCCACATTCCAAAATCATGCATGGCAGGCTGATTGAACACTCCAAATTGTCCCTAGGTGTGAGTGTGAGCGTGGATGGTTGTTCGTCTCTGTGTGCCCTGCAATTGCCTGGCAACCGGTTCAGGGTGTCCCCCGCCTACTGCCCGAAGACAGCTGGGATAGGTTCTAGCACCCCCCGCGACCCTTGTGAGGATGAAAGCAGATCGGAAAATGGATGGATGAAGGTTGAATGTAGGGCTGCAGCTATTGAGTATCCTCCTGGAAATTCTTTGGAGTAAAAGCGTTTTTGGATAAACTGTGTTTTCACTTGATCCATTTCACTTAAAAACGAACATAGATCTCTTTCTCTCTCTCTTTCTTTCTCTCACTCTCTCTCTCTACTATACATATCCATTTTCCGATCCGCCGTCGCGGGGGGTGCTGGAGCCTATCCCAGCTGTCTTAACTAAACAGGTAGTAACTAAATTCACATTGTGTAGAGCTGCAAACTGTATTTTATTTCTTACAAAGTTATTTATTTGGAGTACAATTCACAAAGCAGTAACTTACTCCATAATATTTGTATTTTGTTCTTGAAATGCTCCCTGTCAGAGTGTTGACTGTGACTTTTGAACATATCAGGGCTGAACATTCAAGAAGTTATCAATCGTTCTTTCCATCTTATCATCCGCAGCTATTTCCACTCTATCTGATGGCCTGAGGTCGCTCACCTCGGCCTGTCACGATTAAAACATTTTTAGAATGACATATTTTCACGGAAACCATCATGATGAATGATGATATCAGTGCTGTTGTTTTTTGTATGCTGCTGATATTATGATAGAGCACCTTCAATCGAGTATATCAATTTTTCGCGCAAATAACTTTTTATTCTCATGAATATTTATTACGGGCATTGAAATGTAGCACAATGGTCAAGTCATATTTATTTAGATAGCCCTTAATCACAAACAGTCTCAAAGGGCTTCACATGCCCACAGTTGTATTCACGACACTCCCTGACCTTAACTAAGGAAGGCAAGAAAAAACTAAAAAGAAAACCCGTCTGGTGAAAAATGAGAAACCTTGAGAAGGGGCTGCAGATGGGAGAATCCCCCTTCCGGCATGACCAGGCTGCAATGGATGTCGAGTGGGCAAACATTTGACACAATGTTGTCCTATACAATGTTAGTTTAAGTGATATAAATTCCATTTAACAAGATAAAAAGATGTAGGGAGACGCCTTCGGAGAGGTAGGCCCACCTCTGACGGTGCGTCCTCTCTGAGAGGTAACAACTAAACCAGGAAAGAGCTGAGCCTGAAATACCAACACACGTTCTGAGACCGCGGTAAGTGGTTCCGTCAGGAGATTCATATGTACCAGTATATTAAAGTCAGCCATTATTAGTATATTATCTCCGTGAGTCACCAAGTCAGCCCCAAATTAAGAAAAATCATCTGGAAAGCCAGTGCAAGGGCCAGAAGGACGATAAATCACTGAAAGATAAAATGGTCACGAAGCTATGGATCGCACAACAAGCGCTTCAAAAGTTTTAAAGCCGTTGTTTGAGCGAGGACTAAGTTTGATTTGGAAATAATGGCAACACTCCCACCCTTCTTACGAGGGGTGCTACATGTGAACTCGCAAAATTTGGAGGTGAAGCCTCATTTAGCAGTTCTCATTGGGTTTTAACCGGGTCACACAAAGACCGATCATGTTAGGATTATTGTCTCTAATGAGGTCATTAACTAACAGGGCTTTCGAAGAGAGTGATCTACGATGCAAAAGAATTGAGTTCAATAGAGTAAGCTGATTTGAGCTCTTTGATATTACAGGGATCCTAGTCGCAATATTAACAAGATCAATTGTTTTGGTCCCGTACTGTTCTTTGAGCAACTAAAGGCCATACGGGAGGTGACAAACGTAGGCGTCTGATAGTTAACTTGTCTCGTCACACCACCTCAGTAGAAGACATGTCAGTACATAATGCAGCAATTGGTAGTGTATCAGTATAGATAAGATAACTTGTATAACTAAAAGAATATATAAATAAAGCAGACTCAGGCTCTCTTCACTAAAATGACACTTATTTCAGCAAATATTGGACGTTTAGAGACATTTCCTTTTTTGATTGGATGTATGACTTTTGAACGCTTACAACACTTGTTTTAAGAGTGCACCGGTTTAGTTATTCATGCTTATCTTAAGCTCTGTGCCAAATGTTCAATATTTGCTTAAATAACTGACATCTGTGGTGATTGTAATAAGTTAGCCACGCAGACGGTTCATGAGTGACACGTCAGTAACGCCACGTCAGCTTGGTAAGACGTCTGAGGAGCAATCTTTGATGGAAGTTTTGGTCTTAGCACTGTCTGACTGCATTGTAAAAAGGCTTTGACAAAGGTACGAAGGCAAAATAAAAAATTAAAAAACTACGCCGTACTAAAATAGCATTCGGGAGACGTGCACAAGCTAGCTTCATGAATTAAACAACAGACATGAATATAATCGGTAGATATGTCACGCTTGTGTCTATGGCGATGCTAGGTTAATGTGCATGCTATCCACAATTTTTTACCCCTGCCAAAATGGTCACCACAAACGTGTATGCCCATTTATTACCTGTTTTTTAGTTTGCTCCAGTCTTCTTATATATCTGACAACAGTGGCGCAACCCGGAAATAAGTGTACTCTGCTAACTGCACCACAACACCAATAATAAAACATGAGCTAATTCTAGGACTAGCTTATACTTTGCCAACTACAAAATGCCGTTTTGAATTGACTGCACACTATTTTCTCTCTGCTAAATCCGGTGTCTGTTAAATCAAGAATCTGCTATATTTTGAAGTGATATATCTCGACTGAGAGACGACACTATGTTGGTTAGGGGCTAAGTTTAGTCCGGGTTGTTGTGGAGAGTTTTCACTTAATGTACACATGTACGGACTGGGCATGTATTTTTTTTTCTAACTCAAATAATTGATGTTTGAAATTATTAAATTGTGGCACACAGTGAGTTGTATATTTCTGATTTAATTAAGAGACAATTAACCGTTTTTAGTGAGTGGATGGTTGCATATATGCCAATTACTCGCAATTGACAGAAGGACCCTTTGTGGGAGACCAATCAATACCAATTTGACCAAACTTTAATTGTTAGTGGAGGTCACATTTAAGAGCACATCTGGTTAGTGTTTTTGTATTCAGATTTTTAAAAAAAAATTATTTCTCCCATTTGCGTTTTCAGTGTCGAAGAGGTTGAAGTGGTGAATGCTGATGGCACAACCTGCAAATATCCAGTACTGTATTCATTGCAGTTATCCTCCAAGCACACATTACACACAAATCACCTCAAAATCCCATGCTCCCATTGTCTGCTGTAATTTTTAGGAGCTGGCATACAGGAAGGAGAAGCTGTCCTGCAAGTTTGTTAATAACAAAGTTGGCATCAAGTAAGATTTTCAAACATACTCACAACAAGCAGTCATCTTTCTTGGGGGGCGGGGGGGTTCTTTTTGCAGTCCATTTCCTAAGTCAATATTTCAACATGTTGACTTGGAAAAGCAGAACCTGTTCCTCAGATCCTCTGGGAGTTGACTTGTACACATTTTGTTTTTTTTTCTTCAAAGTGAGTCAACAGAGAAGATCGCCCAGCTGCTAACACGGATGTGCCTGCGTTCTCGGGCTACTGGTGTTGGCGACGAAATAGAGGTTGAAATCCCACCCACCCGCTCAGATGTCATCCATGCCTGTGATATCATGGAGGATGCAGCCATGGCTTTTGGCTTCAACAACATCACCCGCACCACACCACAGACCTACACCATAGCCAACCAGGTACGCAAGTTCCACATATATGTACGACAGGGGTCACCAACATTTTGGCCGCGGGCACCAGGTAAGCCCCAACGAGAATCCCTCAGGCCTGTTCCAAATACAGCTCGCCAGTGCTGAAGCATTGTGATTTTGTAGGAGAAAAACATCAGTAAAAATGAAATGTCAACAGTGGAAGAGATGTTTAGAAATAAAATGTTGCATACACTTAAAGCCATTCGTAGATACGAACAAACGCTTACTGGATGTCCATAAATGTGTGTAAAATGATGTGGTGCACACCACATGATACTGTACAGCAGCGGTCCCCAACCCAGTGGGTCATTTGGTGCCGGGCGGCACAGAAAGACTGAATAACTTACATTACTTCCGTTTTATTCATTTCGGAATCTGAAAGATGTTTTATTTTGAAAAATTACTGGATTCTTTGTTATATCCGTCTACAGTATATCACTCTTGACGCAGGTGAAGGCGGCGCTTGTCGGTCACGTGAGAGTTTATCACGTGAGAGTTTACCGCTAAAATGAAACCCAAGAGCCAGCAAAATTGTAAAAAACCAAACGTCTTTGGAAAGGGGAAGGGGAATATTATGGCGCACTCTAAAAACAACTGTCGCTGCATACGAAGTGCTGTATGTGGAGTTAGAAGACATATTAAAAAAAAAAAAAGTTAAAAAATAAAGTGATTACATAAAAACAGGAAACACCACAAAATACTAAAATGTTATATCCGAGTCAAAAGCTATAGAATGAAAAGGTGTTTTAAGATGAGTTTTAAAAATTGAATTAAAATGTAAAAATATATTTATTTTATTTATATAATGATACATTGTTTATGTTTGCATTTTTTAATTATTATATGTGTTATATATTAAGATAATCTATCAATTACTTGGTTAATTGCACTGTCCCCCGTTTTTTTTTTTTTTTTTTGTCCCAAAACTACGTAATCACAAACTTATAACAATGGCTTATAATTCCCTGTAATTTGAGCAAATTTATTATTTCATAATTGTATCAAACTTGTGGCCCTTTGCATTAATCAGTAACCAAGAAGTCGCTCTCACTTTTCAACATGTTGGTGACCCCTGGATACGATAACAAATGTAGATGCCACTGAATGCACTGTCATCAAATATTTGTGTTCTTCTTTCTATGGTAATAGTTTCCGCTGAATAAACTGACAGAGCTGTTAAGACATGACCTCGCAGCTGCGGGTTTCACCGAAGCCCTCAACTTTGCTTTGGTAAAGCGCACGAAACAATTTGCAAACGTGTTCGCCCTCATTGGAAAGACGAGTAACAACAATGTCCCAACGCCTCTCCTGTAGTGTTCCCAAGAAGATATAGCCGACAAGCTTGGTAAGAAGATCTCAGAGACCAGGGCAATTCACATCTCCAATCCCAAGACTGCAGAGTTCCAGGTGATCAACAGTGAAAGTAACTCTTTAGCCGTCAGACTGTTTTGCCTGTCCATAGCCGGAAATAATGACGCCATCAAGGCGTGTTTTGAAGTTGGGTTGTATTCCCGCCACAAGAGGGGCCTCTCTGACTTGATGAAAATACAGTAGTCTATCCCTTTTCTTAATAACACTATTCTTTTGTTCCACCAGGTGGCGCGCACCACCCTGCTGCCTGGCCTGTTGAAAACAATTGCAGCCAACAGGAAGATGCCCCTGCCCCTCAAGCTTTTTGAGATATCTGACGTCGTGCTGAAGGATGACACCAAGGGTAGGCGTCAGAATGGGTGAAGTCATTAACATAGCCATGCCGAACAATTGCCCATGTTACAGAGAAACAGTTAATAAGAAGAAGAAGAAGAAGATAATAATAAGATAACCTTTATTTGTCCCACACTGGGGAAATTTGCAGTCTACAGCAAGAAGTTGTATCATTTTGTGACTGAGGCGATGTGAATTTTAATCAAAGCTAAACACTATGGGGAGCAACTTGTCTCAAAATTATTCACACAAATAGATCAGTGATTTTCACATTTTTTAATTTCTTTCTTTATTTTTTAATATGCTGTGTGTCTATTAATCATGACTTAGCGTTTGTAAATATTCATTCTACTTGTCAATTGTGTGTTTGTGGATCAAGGGGCACAACATTTTTTTTTTTTTTAACACAAACATCACATAGTGTCAAGATATTCACACACACAGATTCGAAACATTCACACGTGACAAGGCCTCCCCTGTCATTTGAACGGGGATTTGTATGGACAGATGTCCATGTGGTAAACGTAGAAGTGGCCAAACATCACAAATATCATTTTAAAATGAATAATTGCAGTTTTGAGGGGGTAATTTTTGTCGACAATTTTTTTATGTCAACTTAGACGAGTTAGCTGGGAGGGGGGGTTCCCCCCAGCTTCGTAGAATCATGCAATAGTTTCAACTTTTTTATCAGGTAAAGAGGCATATTGCAATTGAAATTTATGATTGTAGTCTACTTTGTACCCACTTACTGAAATTACAGGTGGCAGTTACATGCATTTTTGAAAGGCTCATTTATTGACCTCACTAAAAAGACTTCTCCTATGAAACCAGCCAAGAAAATGTTCAATAAAAAATGTACAATTATATAAAAATATATTCATTTATACAACAAAATGTAATTATATCCTGGTGGCTATCCTCCCTCCAACCAGATGTTGGGGCGAGGAACAGTCGACATATTTGTGCCGTGTACTACAACAAGAGTCCAGGCTTCGAAGTGATCCATGGCCTGCTGGACCGCACCATGCAACTGCTGGCGGTGAAACCCACCCGAGGAGAGGGCTACCATATCCAGGCTGCAGACGGTAACGGGTTCTTCGTCTTCCTTCCACATTTCAAAAACATGCACGCCAGGTTAATTGAATGCTCGAAATTATCTATAGGGGTGAGAGTGTAAATGGTTGTTTATGCCCTGCAATTGGCTAGCGACCGGCCGAAGGTTTACCCCCGCCTCTTGCCCAAAGTCAGCTGCGATAGGTTCCAGCACACCTGCGACCTGGACAAAGATAATCGGCTTATGAAATGGATGCATAGCTTGTATATCGTACACGTTGCACAATGCTGCTGTCCGGCAGAAACCATGTATGTTCAAATATGATTTAAAAAAAGGAAAAAAAATTATGCATCCATTACAAATGGTCCATCATCACTTCGGCTCATATTTTTACGCAATATTAACGAATTCAAAGTGGTAAATTGACAACAAATACATTGCCGCTCTTGAGCACAACTTATATTTGAGAGGTCTTCCAAAACTACAGTTCATCCGTGTCCTCGTTCTGCGAAAGCTGTGCGGCGTCGCCTCGAGCATCTGTATGGGTTTTTTAGACAATGAGTGAAAATAGTCAGTTTAGCTACATTTTAGTTTGCTATGTTGTTTTTGTTTCAAATTGATTGCTATGGTAGTTTGCTGCAGAAGGTCCCATGTGAATCACGCAGCAAGTCTCAAATCTCATATTCATTTGCACTTAATAGACAAGGTTAGTCGGCGCATCGTTTTATTGATTGCATCGCTCATGGCTTAAGACTTTTAAGAAGGTGCTTGTGAACATGATGGAATATATACGTTTGCTTTTGAGACACACGTTTGGTTTATTAGGCTTCTTCATGGTGGGGGCTCGGCATGACAGCAGACATTTGAAGTGCTTGGCTGCCACTGGCTCGGTGTTTGTACTATCAATGATAGCGGCGCAAATTTGCTTTTTTGAAAATGTTATTTTATTGATATATTAATTTTGACCGATGAAGCTAATTTTGACGGCTTCGTCTTGACGGTCGTTTGTTTTTGTGATACTTCGGACATATACTGTCGCAGGTTTGAAGCGCATACAGATCCCATCTGAACATATTAAGGTTCCTATATCCAAATACACATACATTCAGTTCGGGCTTCCCTCTCCCGCTTCTTGTATTCGCCCATGGCCCACCCAGTCATTTATCCCTGCTCCCTTTTGACAAGCATGCTCCAAGGGCACACTTTAGGAGATCTGCACAGCAAATCAATTGGGGCTCAGGTATCGATGTGAGCAGAGGCAAGATAGATAGAATTCAAGGAAGAGCAGCATGCATGAGGAAAAAAAAAAACAAGTGGTGCTAACAGCGGAACTGAAGGTGCTGTCAAGAATGGTCATGTAAGTGTGTGCTGCAAACCTTGCAGAGTGGTGAAAATATGGCAGTGGGGGGGTGGGGCAGATTATTGTGTCCAATAATACACGGACAACAACTGCTTGATAAACATCAGCCGACTATTATTCATCGTAGATATTTTAGAACTACGCACACTAACATCGGTATTTTATGGCACTGTTTCATTACCTTCACAATCAGTTGACTCAGAATACAACATACGACGACATCACGACGTTTTGAGTGATATTTCAAATTGTTCTTCCACGGTCAGTGGCACTGTTTGGGGACCACTGCATTAAGTAAAATAAATAATAACAATAATTCTACATTGTGCTTGTCCATTGTTGGAATGTCAGTGGAAAGTACACTTCAAATACGTATGGCATTTGCATAAGACGTTCATCTTTGTCTGTAATGAATTTGAAAACATTTTTCAAATCCAATTAATAACTTAAAAAAATAAAAACCTACCTAATTTAGCTGGTCATCATGTTCTTTGAACCTGTCACTAGATAACCGGAACGTGTGTGTCAACTTTGGGCTAGCCTGCACAATGATATACACACAAAGCAACACTGAATGGAATGCATCTATCGCGTTAATCCGTAAAAAGTGAAGCCATACAGTTTCCAGACAACACTGTGAAATAAGTCTACGTTGGAGAACGAATGGGATCAGGAAGCGCAGCAGACAACACCATGTCTGCTTTGTCACGAGCGAGTTACACGCGCATGTACAGTGCTGGAATTAAGTCTTCCTACTTTACGCGCATGATGATCAGAGTGCTGCTTTGCGGTTTAATTTACGAGCACAGACTCGGATTATGGACGTAATGCCGCCGCATCCTCTGGGGATGGCGGAGGTTTGATCGAAAGCAGATCTTCCCTCGGGCAGTTCAATTCATTTCGCACTTCCTGCTCATTAAAAATGCTCGGCACGGCTTTGGTTTTTTTTTTTAATCACCTGCGTGGCATGTCTCATCTCCAACTATAAATCGCTCCTTGTCCCGGAAATGTTCACTGCACACACGTTGGTCACTGCCTGTCCTTGTGCACACTGTTGGTCTTTAAATATTAACTTTACATTTGTAGTATTTCAACTGTTTCAGCTTATACTTGGAATTTATGGTATCCCAGAACATGCACAATAAAATGCACATTGAAAATTTTGTAGTTTTTGCAAGTATTTATCAGTAAGAAAATGGAGCAAAAGGGGAATATTTACTGTGCAAGTCAAATTGACATGCACCCCTACATTTTCTTCCAGCACTCCAAATATTATTAATATTTAAGTGAAGCGCGACTGTGCTCCTGGTAAAATATGTGCATCTGCCCAAACACTTGATGTCACTCTAAAACTTACCGAGAGAGCACTGACCATTACAGATGGCATGAATACAGTATGATGCTTTAGAGCAGGGGTGTCAAAATCAAATGGACGGAGGGCCAGATAAAAAATTTTGCTGCAAGCCGAGGGCCGGACTGATCGAATGTTCATTGAAAATTTTAAAAATGACCACATATTGTTTATTGAACCAAATTTAATTGACTGAAAACCTAACAAATACATTCCAATATGGTCAGATAAATAAAGCAACATTTTTTTATGGCTATGTCAGTAAACTTTAATTTTCAACAGGCACAAAAAAATTTCCTTTGTATAAAAATACCCATAACATGAATGAAAGAAGCCGATATTGTTCAAGGCACAATCAATCGTCCATATTTTCTCTTTTTGCAAAAGTAGGCTAAATTTACTTAAAAGAAAAACAAATAATAGTGCAGTAATTTTCGATCATTTACTCGAATAAAATATTTTCAAAACATAATAGGATTGAAATACAATAAAATAAAGTGCAAAAATGTATAAACCAAAAACAACACTTTCTTCAAGAAGTAACAAGCAGCGAAAGCAAATATACTTTAATTTTTAAACTTGAACTGAGTAAAAACTCTTAGTATGTGATTGCACAGTATATTATAA